CATTTCCTCAAACACACCACATTTCTGAAACAACCAATGAAAACAGTTTGTCTCTACAGAGAGCTGCCGGGCCTCAAAGTTTGGAGACGGGGGGAGCCAGGAAGCACTTTATAAAGAGAGTCAAACCATTACAAACTCATACAAGGAGATAAAACAGACGTTTTACATGGTGAAATGTGACTGATGGAAACTTAGGAGCTTAATCCCACACCAGTTTGACCAGGAATAACGTCAGGTGACCAGTCTGACTTTTTTTTAATTCACATTGGACTCCACCAGAAGAAACCCCATCATACTGCTGCTTAAATGTTCACTACGTCAGAACTTATTCAGCAAATGTTTCATCTCTGCTGTTGTGCGTTAACTCTTACAGGATGGAGGAAACTGGTCTTGGTGGAGGTTTGCACTCTCCCAGTGCTTCTATTTGGAGATGACTCTCAGCTACCACCACGCTCATCAAAACCCTCACATTTCACCTCCTTTGAACTTGGATCTCAGGTCAGGTTTCTTTCTTAACAAAGAGGCTTCAAGTGTGCCGACTCAGGGAAAGACCCCCCTCCCCCACCTCTTTGGCCCGTATCAGGACCGTGCTGAAGTGGACTCATGTCTTAGAGGAAGTACTCAATGATAATAATAATACTCTGAGAGGCCGAGCCGGGCCGGGAATCATTTTCATCAGGAGGAAAAAAAAGTCTTTGTTGTTGTTTGAGTGAGAGAGGAGGAGGAGGAGGAGGAGGAGAGGTGGTGCTGCTCCATTCAGACAGGAAATTCCACCAGGAAAAAGTTGGCCTGGGTCCTAACGACACAACGCTGCGCCAACACACACACACACACACACACACACACACACACACACACACACACACACACTGATTTGTTCTTCACTTTCTATGAAGCAAACACACAAACAGGGAGCTGCGTCTCCTCGCTGCACACACAGGCATCGACACATGTGTGTGTTTAAGTTAATCCCACAATCCTGTGCTGCAACAACAACATGAAACCAACAGGTTCAGATTGCAGCACGTCGCTTCCTCTCAGGCACGACGGCACTGAGTGATGGCGACAGACGGATTAGAGGCTCACAGCGGAGAACAGAGCTCCGCCCCCACAGGAGGGTAAACTGATACCTGTTTTATTGGTGGCAGGATTTGGGGCAGAAGGTAAACAGATTAAACTCTGTGCTGAACATGAGTCCGGATGTGTTCAGGTCCAGATCTGAGGGTCTGAAGGAAGTCCAACCCCTCCACAGGTCTGAGTCTTCCTAATAAAACACCATCCATGGATAGAAGGGTGCACCGGACCCTGTAGACCTGAATCCTGATGTGTCCACATCCTCAGGACCGCTGAGCTCAGCTGGACTCAGCTCTGCTCCAAGGAGGATTTTCAAAGTAAAAGTTGTTTGTTTTTGGTGCTGCTTGCTTTGACTCGGTTTTATATGTTTGGTATCAACGATGCACACAGCTCCAAGTTTTCAGTTTCTTCAGAAACGGTCCTGAGCTCCTGGAGGTGCTGCTTTCTCTGCAGATTGTGTCGTGTTCAGTTTTTCCTGATGAGGTGTGAGATTATAATCCCTGCTGCCCACCCAGATGTGTTGGATCGTCTCAGAGCTGATGTTTAGCAGCTCAGGCCTCAGCCCCGGCCTGTTTACGGATCAGACCCAGCTGGTTCCTTTAAATCAGATCTCGTCGTCTTCACCCAGTGAACCCTGCGTCGGCCCCATCTATCACCTGGAACACAAGGAGCTGCACCACCTCCCTCTAATTGTCCTGCTCCAGCAGGACCTCCTCTCAGTTTAATGGGAGTCCAGGGAAACCCGTCACCGTTAAACCATCAGATTAATTTGTTTGTTTTTAGATGAAAACAATCAAATGTTGGTGAAGAAGAGTTTAACGATTGACACACATCAACCTGCTCCACGCTCCGCCGCTCGCTCTGTGAGGAGCTGATGATGGACTTCCTGTGTGGACGTCTGATTTATGGCTCCAGCATCGAACCCTCACCCTGATGGGGTCATTAACGCCGCGGCTTGGTTCTGGTAGAAGTGTGGGTCAGAAGAGCTGCAGGTCAGGAGGATGGAGGAGTTCTGACTGAACTCCACCTGCACCTTCAGTTTTTACTCTTTTTATATCAGAACATCGTCTTAGATTATTAGATGTTCTTTAGAGTAAAAACTGATCATTTCTCCTCCAGTCGACCTTTAACCTCTGAGACCCCCCCACCCCCACCCCGACTCATAAACAGGAATATTTAGCTTTTAAGAGATTAAGAGAAGAAGAGGAAGCACCTAAACATCTCACAGTGTAGGAGGAGGAGGAGGAGACACATCCATCTGAAGCTGTCTCAGAGGGGGGGTCACACTGAGGTGAGTCCCCCCACCCAGATCAACGGGCTGAGGAAGGAGGGCTCTCCTGATCTCCTCTGCCTCATGTTGAGCAGAGTCTCAGCAGCAGGGATTAAATAAACAGCTGATACCATTCGTCTCATGCTGACGTTAAGAGCAGCTCTGAAACATCTGGAAACATCTGGAAACATCTGCTCTGCTCCAGACTAAACACAAGAATGGAGGGAGGTTTACTTTGTTTGATAAAATCACAGAGACCCTGACTGACAGGTGAGAAGAACCTGGATTACAGATTCTACACAAACATCTGCATCATCTACAGGAACATCTGTTTCATCCACAGGAACATCTGTATCATCTCCTATATGAACATCTGTATCATCTCCTATATGAACATCTGCATCATCATCTACAGGAACATCTGCATCATCTCCTACAGGAACATCTGCATCATCTCCTATATGAACATCTGCATCATCTCCTACAGGAACATCTGCATCATCTCCTATATGAACATCTGCATCATCTCCTATATGAACATCTGCATCATCTCCT